ACTGGTAACACTTGCAGCGGAAACAACTGCCTCAGGTTTGGGATATCAGTCCCAGAGGTGTGAAGAGCAGAAAAAAAACAGCAGAAGGGATTGTTGGGGGGGGGGATGTGTCCACGACTTCCCTCCTACACTCTTCTGAAGGGGAAACACCTGGGTTCATGCCCCTTCTTGCATATAAAAATGAAATATTATTTGAAAGATTTGGCACTTCAACAACCTGGGCTCCCTCTCTGCAGCCACCAAAAACACATCACGTGGGGTTTTATTGCTTCTGCTTATGAAACAAGTTTACAGTTGTGGGAAGCTTTGCAGCAGAACCCCTAAGTGATTGATTTTCTCCCATCTCCACTCCCCGCTGCTCTCCCTCAAAGTCAGGAGCTTAAGAATTTCTTCCTGTGTTCTAAGGAGTCAACTGCAATTGAACATGGCAGCCACAATGACAATGTATGTCTATTTACAGTCAGCCCTTCATGTCTATGGATTCTGCATCCATAGATTCTTGAAAATATTAAAGAAAATCCCACATCAAACCTTGATTTTGTCATTTCATCTAAGGGACTCCATTTTGCTGCCTTTGTATATCATCCACATATTTTGATATCCATGGGGTGTAGGTCAAAGAATCATAGAATCATAGAGTTGGAAGAGACATTGAGGGCCATCCAGTCCAACCCCCTGCCAAGAAGCAAGAAAATCGCATTCAAAGCACCCTGACCAATGGACATCCAGCCTCTGCTTAAAAGCCTCCAAAGAAGGAGCCTCCACCACACTTCAGGACAGAGAGTTCCACTGCTGAACAGCTCTCACAGTGAGGAAATTCTTCCTAATGTTCAGGTGGAATCGCCTTTCCTGTAGTTTGAAGCCATTGTTCTGCATCCTAGTCTCCAGGGCAGCAAAAAACAAGCTTGCTCTCTCCTCCCTATGACTTTCCCTCACATATTTATACATGGCCCTCATCATGTCTCCTCTTAGCCTTCTCTTCTTCAGGGTAAACATGCCCAGCTCTTTGAGCTGCTCCTCATAGGGTTTGTTCTCCAGACCCTTGAACATTTTAGTCGCCCTCCTCTGGATACATTCCAGTTTATTATTATTACTATTATTATTATTATTATTATTATTATTATTATTATTATTATTGAACTGGGAATAAACTAATGTGGATTGAAAGCTCTGATGTCATTGGGGTAGTGAATCCACTGTGGGTTGAACTTTCAAGTAGCTATGAAAATTGGTTACTACTTTGAATATCATCTTTAAAGTCCAAACTAGAATGAGGAGTAGATTTACTGTCTTACCGATGATATCAGAGCAATCAACCACTACTGGAAGGAGCTGTTTTGAAAACAATAGGGTTTAGAAATAAAATGCTTAGTCTTGTGTGCTGTTCTGCGACCACTCTTCGTTAAAAGACATGTCCTGTTTTTGATTCTTTATCCTTCAGTGTTTATATGCATACACATAGCCCATCACTGTCTTGCCTTGAGTAAATATGCTGGTATTTGCTGAACTTACCTCTATCCTTGGCTTTGTGTCAAGCCTAAATGGATCATTCTCTAGTACAGTGGTTCCTAACCTGTGGTTCATGGACCACCAGTGGTCCACAAAAATGAAAATATGGTTTGCGGTCTCACCACTACTCGAAACCACATGGCAACGAGAGCGACTGGTCTTGCGATACCCTCTTATAGTGCCGAGGCAACGGGGATGTTGCGAGGGGAGAGGCTGACTACCCACAAAAGATTACTACTACCACATCATCTCTAGATTATTAAATATGGTTTTCTGTGGGCAAGCAGAAGGCGACTACTGGGTGGCATGTGTTATGTATCAGAAACTGGAACTGATGTGGTCTATCTAATGCAATTTTCTGAATCAGCGCCCCAAATAATCAAACCAAATCGAAGGTTGACCAAAAACTGATTTGTACCCTGGTACTAATGTTGGAGAGTGGTCCCTGGTCAAAGTGGTGCTTGCTCAGGTGGCCCCTGGTCAAAAAAGAATTGGGAACCACTGCTCTAGTTGTTCCAAACTACTTCACCTCAAGTCACAAGATTTTTTTTTCTTTCCCAATATTTCAGATATTTATAAGCAAATGTTGTTATCTCCTCTGTATAGCTAAACCCATGCATATTCCTCCCAAATATCAAAGCATCAAAAGAGGCAAGACATTTTATAAAACCATTGATTTGGAAGAGTTTTGTGATACAGAAATTATTTATTTACTTAAAGGCTTGGTTGAGGCAAAAAGGGTTAGATTCACTTTACCAACTAGCTAGATAGGCATTCTTGTTAATGCCTTAAGAAAGTCTAGACAATTATATGACTCAGAGAACCTAACATTACTTTGTGGCTTCAACAACTTGGCTTCAAAAGATGCATCGTAACTCAGTTGGCTGTGCTGGAATCGAACATTTAAAGCCGAAAGAAAGCAACATCAGGACTTTTACAGTGTGAACATCAAATCTGTTTTCACAAGGGAGTTAGGAGAAGGAAGAACAGAAGCCCCTTATGGTGGTGTTGAGCAGGCTGGGGTTTTTTTTTTTATAAAGTTAACATAGAAAGTTGGCTGTTGGTTGCACTTCAGATGACCTATGGGTAAACATAGGCCTTCTATTTTCAGCAGTCCCAATCCATTAAGTTTTATTAACCTATTTTTGTACTACAAGGGCAGCAAATGTTTCACTGACCCCTTTTAAATGTTTGAAAAATGTGATAAAATGTATTTGCAAACAATCAAAGGTGCTGTAAAGTAGTTTCTCTGTCATTCCCTGAAATTACAAAAAGGTTTTAAAATGTGATTCACTGGGACTAAAATAGAAGGAAAACTGGCATCCAGCATGTGTTTCTTGACCATTGAGTAAAAACAATCCAATTTTAAAAGGTAGAAAGGCTAAATGAAAAATTCAATTTTATTTAATTTAGAGGGTGATCATTGTATGGTAGCAAGATTGGTATTTACACATAATAATTTGCAGATCATACTAACTTTCGTTCAACCTTCTGATTGGTTGGTTGTTCTCTTCTATACTGTAGCTATAGCATCATTTTTCTACAGTTATAATGAATCTTGTTGAGATGTAGTAACCAGAATTGCCCATCATATTCGAAATGTGAATCAGACTTCCCTTCTACATGGTTGCAGCCATTCACATGCCCCACAATTATACTGTTATTGCATCCTCAAGCATTATGTATTGTGGAAGCAAAAAATGGTCTCAACGTCTGCTTCACTGGTTCTTCTGATAAAGTGGATTTTGAAAAGACAGGTCTTGACTTTGGGATAAAGAAGCACCATAGATCTTTCATAGAGCATTGTGGTGGCATTTAGAGCAGTGCTTCTCAACCTGTGGGTCCCCAGATGTTTTGGCCTACAACTCCTAGAAACCCCAGCCAGTTTACCAGCTGTTAGGATTTCTGGCAGTTGAAGGCCACAACATCTGGGGACGCACAGGTTTAGAACCACTGATTTAGAGTATTCGTTCTAATGCCATGAGATTTCCTTAAAGTAACAGATACCATTTATTTATTTATTTCCCCCTTTCCTCTCTTAATCAAGACTAAGTGTGGCTCACAACACTGAAAACGGCTTGGGTTATAAAGCTCTTTGCCTAATGCAGTGGTTCTCAACCTGCGGGTCCCCAGGTGTTTTGGCCAACAACTCTCAGAAATCCCAACCAGTTTACCAGCTGTTAGGATTTCTGGGAGTTGAAGGCCAAAACATCTGAGGGCCGACAGGTTGAGAACCACTAGCCTAATGTCTTTGCATATTGTGCTTCAAAACTCTTGTAGCAAAGAAGAGTATGTATCATCAGTGTGCTCTTAGCCTTCAGTCTGGTCATCATATGACCTACTGACTTCTTAACAAACCCTGTTTTGCAGCCCTGAAAGCTCCCAGCTTCTCTTTCCCAACTGCTGCCAGGGGGAAAAAAGCGGGGGAAGGGAGGAGAAATATAGAAATAAAGAAGTTGCATTCCTGGAACCCTCCAAAAAAGACAGTTCTTCCTTGAAAAACTAGTATTTCAGCCCCATGCCTCCTAAAGAGTTCCTGCTGTAGGTTCATCAACCTCTGCATATAACTATGCAAAGTGAAGCTCATATATAGGAAATTTTAAGGCCTGGACTATATGCCTATTATAGCAGGCATATAGTCCAACACATTGAATGAATGAGTTGTTTATTGTACTAACCATGGGCCATGACATCAAATAATATACAATTTTTAAAAGTACAGTCCATCACATTAGATGTTGACTATAGAGTCATGCTGGAGGACCTAAAGAGATGTTTTGTGAGATTAAAATATAGTGGATTTTTCCTTTGCCATTTCCCCACTACTACAGGGGTCCAATTCTCCTAGAAAGTGGAGGGTCTTCTGCTCTCACCCATCTCCTCCTTTGCTTGCTTCTATCTGCACTTCATTCTTTCATCCTACCTCGTTCTATGTTCTCAACACTTCTTCAACATCCTGTGTGAGGTTTCCTGGATTCCATCCTCATAACGTTTTCCAAATCAACTCAGCAATGTGTTAATTGAACTCTGTTCATAAATAACTCATCCCAACCAAATTAATATTTCACCGCTTTTCTTACAAGAGAATGTTTTCATTTTTAGCAAAATAAATAAAAGTTGTGACCCTTCTGCATTAAAATGCCAATTTCTTAACATTTCATCTGCGGATTATTGAGAAAGAAGTTTGCACAAAGGTTGTTCTTTTAGGGCAACAAATGAAAGAGACCCAGTGTGATTGCCATAGCTTTCCTTTTAACATAAGGAGATCATGTGCATGATGACTGTGAATGGTAGGGCATGATTGTTTCACATTTGGTTTTCCTTCAGAGTTCATTGCATTTGAGTGTTTATCTTTTTAGGTGGTCAAAAACTTGGCTTGCAATTTTCCCATGAAGAACTGTTTTTACTGCTTGTTTGGAAACTGGGGGCTTCCTTTGCTTGTTGATCATGTGTGGTTTTGCCTTCCCTCTCCCTCTTTTCCTCCCATTCAGTGGATGACACTGTGGTTGCTATTCCCTACGGAAGTCGGCATGTACGCCTTGTGCTGAAAGGCCCTGATCACTTATGTGAGTAAACGTACCCTTTATTTTAATATTGAATAATTCCTAATATCCTCTGAAGTTCTATTTAGAATAATGTTTTCTGTTTTTTCCCTTTCTTTCCATTGGGGATTAGAGTCGTGTATTCAGCTGCCAGTCCCATGAACATCAACACATCTTTTTTAAAAGAATAGCTATTTGACCCATTAATAAAATCTTTATACCCCTTTTAAATTTTCCATCTATCCATTCATATGTGTATGTCTTGTATACAACTAGCCTGATGTTGAAGATTTTTGTTAAAAAGAGTGTTTCACCAGCTGATGAGAATGCAGTGGAGATTTCCCTGCTGCTCAGCTGAACCATCATTACTTTAACACATGTTCCTGTTCATATGTTTACCTTTGCATTTTTTTAAAATCTTGGAGTAAAATCTAAAGGAGATTTCCACATTTAGTACAGGGTTCCGCTGTCCAGCCAAAGAAAGCATGCCAATGCCCTGTAATAGTTTTCCTCGATGTGGGGACTCCTGATGTTTTGGACTATGAATCCCATCATCCCTAATTTAAAACAGCCAAAAGTTATGATGCAGGTCAAGGTCCAACATATTTGTAGTTGGGAAAGGAACAAGATGGTAAAATGATTAGGGACTGAGGCTTGGTAGAGACAGAATGCAGACACCGGCTTTCTGACCAGTTCTACTACTGCATGTTTGGCTTGCTTAAAAGGCTGACAGTGGGAAAGATATGTCCTAGGAATATCCTCTTTAGGTGGAGTCTCTAGTTGACTCATTTTTCTTACTTCAGAATGATTTGACCAATGTTGTTTGAGACATATATGAAACTGAGCATATAGACTGAAGATGCAATATGGAGATGGAAGACAGGGCCCCTGAGTAAATCCTAATGAAGTGGATGCATTAGGGGGGTATGACAGTTATAAATGTGATCTGTGAATTTCTCAGAGAATGAGAAACTCCTAGTGAGAAAACATTGAATATTTAATTTATATCCCACTTTCTCCAAATAAGGTTGAAGGTGATTAATAATAGAATCATACAAATACATAAGATAAACAAGTATAAATATTTCAATACCTGAAATGTATGGACTGTGATAGAAAAAAAAGGACAAATAGATCAAGAGACTTTGAAGTATCTACACCTCCCTCTCATTTTGATTCTTCCACATTTTGTTCTGTTACAGACTGGAACAGAAATAGATGTAACTGGCAGTGTTACCACTTAGTGTATACAAGATATTCAACAATGCCAATATGCCAAAATATTTTGTGCCTTAAACGTTCAGCAAACAAAAACATTCTGCCGCTTGGTTACATAAATGTTCACTGCCTTTGCAATGCCATCCTAAACAATGTCTAGTGCAACCAATTATCTTCAGAAATCACATAAGTAGTTGAATGACGTCTAGCTGGATGCAATTCCATTGCCACGTGATCTAAAATTAAATATTCCTGAGGCTTTCTGGAAAACCCCTGATTTTGTTGAAGAGCTATCTAAATAAAGTGCATCATGAACACTTAGAAGCTATCAAAACAAGTCTGGGATACAGTTGTGCAGAAGCACCAGTCAGAATTGAGTTATTAAAACCCAAACTGTGAATAGCCCTGAAACACTGTTAAATTCATTCTTACGGAACGGAAAGAATATGAAATGTGGGTTTGCTTAGACGAGACTGCCCACCAAAGCTTAATGGGGAGATAAAAAGAAAGCAACTGCCAGGACGCCATGGGTAACACTAAAGTAGCTGGCAGGATCTACAACTAAAGACCTTATCACATTGAGATATAATCAGTTTATATCAGTATGCATCCCATATTTTTTAGAACTCAATGCATACTGTATTGAGATAGGATGCATACTCTCCTCATCACACCTTATTATTACAATTCTTAAGAGCTGAAAATACTTCGCTTGGGCTTCTCCCAATCCATTCTAAACACTCCTTCCATCATTCTTTGACCTTTTAAAAAGTATCATTACTGATGAGATGCATACAGATTTTCCTATAACACAAAAACAGCGCTTCAGCAAAGTAAGATTCTATAGTATTTCAAAAAACAAAATTCCATCTGCAAATAATTTGTTTCTGCAATACTGTGCAGATGGATTCTGATGGAATATGGACAAGATAGGGCAAACATCATGTGATGGGACCAATTTGAAATAATTATCAAAGAGTCTCAGAAAAAGAGTATTTCCAAATGTGATATGATCCTGAGATAAGAAAAAACTGTCCACGGGGCAGCTTTCAGTTGGACGCTCCACAAAACTGGACTTTATAGAAGATTAGTGAGAAGAAAGTAATTGCTGGAACAAATCCATATCCAATTATATTAGGAGTTTGGAAAAAGTGAAAAGTCTAATGAGATCCAAACAGAATTTTGGGATCTTACCACCAAACATTATATGTTGTCACAGTGAATAGTGCCCTTTTCCCTAGTGAACCATGCAGGATGATGTTGTTAGCAACTGTTCCACAGAAGATACTGGAAACCTGATTTGGATTGAAGGCAATGTAGGTGGATCTAAATATAGGAACCCTCTAGTGGAAAACATGTTTCAGTCTGCAAGGGTCCTGGAATTGGTCCCTTCCATCAGTGTAATTACACCAAGTTTGTATTAAAATGGCCCAGTCAAAGCCCAGGTCTGAATCTCACTGAGAGAGTATGATAAAACTCAAAAAATGGCAGTCCCATACAATCTGAGAGTGGGAACAGATTTACGAAGGAGAATGGACAAAAATTGCAGGATCCGGGTATATAAAGTCCATAGAGGTGTACCCATGAAGAAACACAACTTTAATCAAGACCAGATATGTTATTACCAGAGAGGATGAATATTTGGCAACCAGCAACGGCATTTTGTTTCACTTGTGTATCACAGCAAAGATATTTTACACCTTCACAGTGCAGAGCATGTTGCATACATCAAGTGGTAACACAGCCAGTTACTTCCATTTCCATTCCAAGTTTTAGCACAAGAAAATGTAGAAAAGTCAAAGGAGGTGACTTCTTCTGCAGTGAACTGTAATTCAATAGAAGTAATTTAATATATATTATACAAGTGTAGCTGATACGTTATAGCACTGTGCATCTCAAGGATTTGTGAGATACAAAGATAAAATCAATGCAATATCTCAAATACATTTTTGCAAAATATGTTCTGAAAATATATATTGTTATGAAGGCACACTGATGATGAATAGGTAATCAACGGATGATGAATTTTATCTTGGAATATACTTCACAAAAGATCATGCTCTTGTCATGTGTTTGTAATAAATGTGTTTTCCAATTGAGAAAGCAGTCTCCGTTACACTGATCCCAGGTCAGTTTTGCTGATGTGAAGAAAGAAATTGCCTGAAAACCTTAGTTGATTGACACCTAAAGCAGTTTCCATTTAACGGGTCATGTTACTACACTGCACCATGTCTGGTCATGTTCACAGTATTATGGATTGGATACGCTGTAATTCTTTAAGGGTGGGAAACGTGGGCATAATGCCAGTTCACTGAGTCCCTGTGGATTATCTGTGAAGGATATTCAGAAAAGAAACTGCCATGTGAGTTTGTCCTTGTCTTTCTAAATTGTTTTTTTTCTTCAGTTTCTTCCACTTTTTTCTGACCCATGTATTTTTAAAACCAGTTGACTGAACCATTCAACCTAATTTTAAAGAAGAGACACACACTTGGGTTGTTAATAAACCCATGAAATGCGTCATTAAAAGATCAGTGTGTTTGCTTTGAAATATAGAATGACATTTTCAATAAATATAAAAAATTGTGTTGTTATTTAAAATTACCGTACAGCCTATATAGCTTGTACCAATCTCCTCACCTTAGTTACTCTGGGAATATCTTTTATATGGACGCCAGTATCCCACTCTAAAAGAGATCAAGAAGCAGTACAGTTTTTCCTTGGAAGATTCCTAACATATCTTACAAAAGTACCATCTATGATTAAGCCTATAGTGTTCCTGTTTTGAGCCTTCAGAAGGAAACATATATAGTGGATGCTTGTTATCCACTGTTGTTTGGTTCCAAGACCCTCTGAGGATTCCAAAATCCATGGAAGTACTCATTATATACAATGGCATAGTAAAATGGTGTCCCTTACATAAAATGGCAAAATTAAGGTTTTTATTTTGGATGCATAGCTGGGTGTAATGCCATCAGTGGTTGAATCCATGGATGACGATGATGATGACGACGACTTTATTTATGGACCATCCTCTCTCCCTTAGGGGACTCAGAGCAGTTTGCTTACAAAAAGGCAAACATTTAATGCCATAGTCAACAAAGACACACAAATCCAAACAATGCAAAATAACATCAGTAAACTCATATCGATAGAAAAATACTAATTTTTAAATAAAACATAATTATACATAGGAAGACATGTATCCCTAAAAGTTTAATGACTAAAATGCATAAAAAATGCCTGACATATCAGTAATGATTTAAAATGTATCATAGTGGCCCATAAGATGCAAGTAGATTTGCCAGCATTCAAGTGAGATTGACTTAAGGTGTGCTAGTCCTCATCCTCTCCATACGCTAAAGTGCATAAGTGCATTTTCAAAAGTTTTTTAAAGGAGAAGAGGGTGGGGGCCATTTTTATTTCTTTGGGAAGGGAGTTCCAGAGGCAGGGAGCAATCACGGAGAAGACCTCCTCTCTTGTTCCCACCAACTGCGCTTGAGACGGTGTGCAGTGTGTGAAATGCATCCATGGATAGAGAATTCATGAATACAAAGAACTGACTATACATTATTTTTTGAAAACTCAATATCTTACCCTCCCAAATAAACACCATTTTCTTTGTTTTCCTTATTTCTTCCCTTATCATTGCATTCCTTTAGCTTATTGATTTCCATTAGAATCCCAATAAAGGTTTCCAGGTTAAAAACCTTAACATGTGGTTTGTGAGTCAAATGTCCAGCATAAAATACAGGAGGACCATCTCAATCATCTCATTGCCAGCTGCCCTTACTGTTCATTAGTTTAAAATATTATAAAGTTATCAAAATTGGCTCTCTGTCTCCACAGATTCTGCATCCATCATTCATGCCTTGAAAATATTCACACATAAAAATAACTTTAATTTTGCCATTTTGTATAAAGAGCCTCAGTTTATTATTCTACTGTATACAGTTGGGCAAGCACCCATGGATTTTGGTATCCACAGGGGATCCTGTAACCTAACTCCAACAGATACCAAAGGCCAACTGTACTGAATAATCCATCACACTAAACAAAAAACAGTGCTTTGGACCTTGTGACCTAAACATGGTAATTCTCCAATCCTGAGGGGATTTTTTCCAAAGTTTAAGGGATCTGGGAATCAAATGGAAAAAAAAGTTGGCTGTTTAGCGTGGTCTCTCATTTAATTAAATAATAACTTAATTCTAGACATTCCAAATTGACAATAATTTAAGTTGTCTCCTCATGCTAGAATGTTTACTGATAACTTAATTGGTTTTGACAAATTAGTTCCTGACTCTAAACTCTGCCCCATGCCCCACAGAAATTATTCTGGCTTCCATAAAAACTGAATAAATAGGTAGAAGAGAATATGAAGGCATTTTATGAAGATAAACAAGATTACAGATATTAATCAAGTACTATATTAATCATGGTGCAAATTGATGTAGTTAAATGCTTGCAGCTTTCTCCTTATTCTGTGAAAATATAGCTTGTGTGTAAAATACATCACACATTTCTTTCTGATAGTCCTTTGCAGTGCTATATATTTAAGGATGAGGGGTTGTTTTACATCCTTGCTCACTGTGTCTCATTTACCTGTTAAGACTGTTGTGTTACATGCTGAAATGTACTCACGTTTCTCAGCTTTAGAAACCAAGACTCTACAAGGCGTAAAAGGCGAAAACAGCCTCAGCTCCACAGGTTCCTTCCTTGTGGATAACTCTAGTGTTGACTTCCAGAAGTTTCCAGACAAAGAAATCTTGAGAATGCCTGGCCCTCTTTCTGCAGATTTTACTGTCAAGGTAAGAAACAGTGAACAAAATCGTAGTATTCTTTTTAAAGCAACATAGAAAATAAAACTCTTGGCATTATATTTCTGTATGGACATTCTGCCTGTTATTTTCCAAAGATTTTATTAAATATACACCAAAGGGTGCTGATTCAGCACACCTAACATCTACTAGCCACATGGGGATGGTGCTGGATCAGAGCAAGCAATACAATGAGAGGATTCTTTGCAAAATCCTCACACTGCTAACCACCTTTTTCTTTGTGGTGGCTTTTCACCCCCATCTTCCAGTTCAGTGGTACAGTGCTAAATCAACTATGAGCAAGATGACCCTCTGGCTAGTCCTGTCTATATATAGGAATGTATCTATAGTGTTATACTTCATTTGCTTGTTTATTATAGGCAGTTTCTTACCATGCTGTTTTTTCTTTGACTATATTGCATAAGAATGGAGAATTGAAGAAAGACTATTTTACTAGGCCTGGGTAACAACGGAAAAATTTGTTTCTAAAATCGATTCGTTTTTTGGGGGGTTTTGCGTTTCGTTATTTAAAATAATTACAAAATTTTCCTTTAAAAAAGTTCGATATTTACGAAATTTCGTAAATGTGAAAAAAATTACAAAACATTAACGAATCGATTTCCGAAACAATAACGAATCGATTCGTTAATGGCGGACGCGACCGCGAAATACGCTAAAAAACCTCCAAAACCTTCTGAAGCTTCCCTCTCCCTCTGTTGTTGACTGTTGGTGCGATATTATAATTTTTTTTCACTAATTAAACCATAAAACTGGCCCAGACATGCGGAAATAATAACGAAACGACCTCAAAACAATAACAAAACGAATACAATAACGAAATACGAAGCATTTACAAAACTATTTAAAATTCGTTTTTTTTAAAAATTGCTCCAGAATGGTTCGTTATCGTTTTTTAATTGAAAAAATTAACGAATTATTAACGAATTACGAATTAACGAAACGAAACCGCCCAGCCCTATATTTTACTAGTGTTTCAAAATGCTAATGGGGATAAACTGCTTTGCATGAGGAATAGAATAACAATGGTCTTTGTATTTGGGGTTGTGTCCCGTTCACTTCAAGATGTTGCATGGGCTCAGAGTAAGCAAGAAGAAAGCACTATCCTCCTTCCTGTAAACAGGAGGAAAGTTTGAATATAATGATTTACTCGTCCCTAATGAGGGAAAGGCAAAAGAAAAGTCACAATGTCTGGGTCACCAAGCTGTGAGCTCCCCAGATGATACCTCCTGGGTCCCTTTGTACTTGACTAAACTTTTATTGTAAGTAATATTTATTTTATTTATTTGGAGCATTTATTAACCGCCATTCTCAGCCCACTCGGGCAACTCACGGCGGTGTACAGTACAAAAGGCAATTCACACAAAGACAAGTACAACAGCATATTAACCATACAACAATACAACAGTTAAAATTACACTAACTAATCCGCTTCGTCTCGTAATAGAATCGTGACCAATCTCGTATTCCTTGTACCATTCCAGTCGTCTTTACCACATTACTATAGCACTTAATTAAATGCCCTCTCGAACAGCCACGTCTTGAGGCTTTTTCGGAAGGACAAAAGAGAGGGCGCCTGCCTGATGTCTGTAGGGAGAGTGTTCCCTTTACAGAATTCAACAGACCAAAATAAAATTCAGGACCTGATAACACTCCTATGCAAAATATACACATATATGCACTAGTCATGTGCATTCGGATTAAACCTTGATCCGTTTCGTGTCCCGGCTTTCAGTGGAGCCCCCGATCTGTTTTGACTGAGCCTTCCAAAATTGGAAGGGCAGATATTTGTTTTCCATTTTTGGTGCCAAAAATCCACTTTTTTCCAGCCCATTATTGGGAGGGGATCTTTACCCATAGGCCCAAAGTGCCCGGGCCTATAGGTGCAGGCTTTGGGCCTATGTGCCCGGGCCTGGCAGGGCCTGCAACTGAGTGGTGAGTAAGGAGCACTCCTTACTCAGCATTTGGCAGCAGGCCCTGCCAGGCCCAGGTGCGTAGACCCAAAACTTGCAACCGTAGACCCAAAGCACCAGGGTGCCTGCATCTGAGCATCGAGTAAAGAGCGCTCCTTACTCAGCTCTTGGCTACAGGCTTTGTGAAGCCAAGGAGCGTAGGCCCAGAGCACTGACAAGAGAATCTGCTGGCACTCCTTACTCGGCACTCAGTTGCAGGCCCTGCCAAGCCCCAGCACTTTGGACCTACTCATGAGGTAATCAATCCGAAAAGCAGGCTTGAAGCCAGTACCTACTCCCTTCTGCCTTTTGTATCGAGTTTATTTTTGTTCCAAGAGGGGCCTTCCCATTCCATGCCATCCAAATGGACGGAACAAAATGGAAACACAAATCAAATGGATGAGATAAATTTTGGACCTATGACTAATATGCACACACTTGTTTTCCTTAAAAGAAAAGACAACTGTGTCAACAGTTCGTAGATATTCTGCAGTGTGTTGTAGTGGTTTGAGCATTGAACTACCACTATGGAAACTATGGTTTGATTGTCCGCTTAGTCATGGAAATCCACTGCATGATCTTAGGCAAGTCACACTCTCAGTTTCAGGAAACCCCATAACAGGTTCACTTTAGGGATGCTATCAGATAAATAATTTGAAGGCACACAATAACAAGTTCACAGTGGATTGTCTCCAGCAGATTCTCTTGTCATCATCCTGCAAGGAATAAATAACGAAGGTATTTTAAAATGTATGTGATTCAAGATCTAAGGACAGCATTGATTGTGAGATAAAAGATACATAGGACGACGCAAGTCAGTTATGAAACTTGGTGATAAATAAGTTTGTATAGAATGAAGTTGAATTAGATGAATTGCACTGAGATTTGGGTAGGAAATGGAGGCTAGTTCATGGCTCTATTTTTTAAAAAGTACGTAAGACATAAAATGAATGGAGGAGTAAGCCAGGAGACTCTTTAAGATGAGTAGGCTGGCTTTGGTCAAGAAGTCATCATATCCCTTGGAAGCTCTGCTTTGTATTGTACTGGCAGTAAGAATCAAGTTGTTTCCTCCCATTAATGCTTTCCTATTCTTCCAGGTAATATAAAACACATTGCTTAGAGCAGTGAGTGCATTCTATAAAGGGGGCAGGGGGAATTGCACAGACAAATGTGAACGTTTGGGAATTAAAACCAAACAAAATCTATTGGGCAGTAGGGCAAGAAAGGAGGGGATTAGGTCAGAAGGGCCTGAAGGATTTCAGCTGTAAAGCCGTAAAAATTGTATAATATCCAGGACACCATAAATTTTTCATCAGGGGACACAGAGCCAGAGGGCGTTTGATTTAAGCTGATGCTGATGACCTTGTGACAGATGGAAATACAAATGACTACAAATGGGACCCATGGTTAGATTAAATGGAAGAAAAGTTAATAGACTAAAACTGCAGGCCCTCTTAGCATGGTAACTGCACATGTAGCAGGCAGTTTTGGGCTGCTGAAAGGATTCCCAGAAATAACTATTTCATTAAATCAACAGGAATGTTAATTATCAAGCTATAAACAAAATGCCAATGTTTTTTCTTGACAATAGACATGGCAATATGTCTTGTTTAAAATAATATTTATAAAGCAATAGATTCAATGTTCAACAAGGCAGATTCTCAAGCTGCAATTAATGTAATGCCCAGATTTTCATGGAGAATTTTACTATGTGTTGTGAATAATATAACTACTGCATATACTGATGTATAGGTCCACTTCATGTATAAGTTGAGGGCAGGTTTGGGGACCAAACTTATGGATTTTGATATGTCCCATGGGTAACTTGAGGATTATTCCACAGGGAGGGGAAAGTGCCAGTGTTGCCTCAGGAGTCCAGCTGCCTCTGTCTGCCACCACCATGTCCCTGTCCAGGCATTCAAAGAGGCCAGAAGCAGTGTCATGTTGGAGAGAGTAGAGGACAGATGAACAACAACAAAACTTTATTTATATACCTCTTTATCTCCCCAAGGGGCTCAGAGCGGTTTCCAAGTGACATAATCAATACAAATGTGAGAGAACAGCATGAACATAAAATTAACAAGACTAAATAAGTATTAAAAACCATAATAGCACATATATTTAAAATAATCCTGCCTGTTCAAGGCAGTTTAAAAGGCCAAGCCTGGTTAGTGCGATTTAGAGGGCCCAGGAAATTAGGTAGAGTGTATGGCTGTACATTTCCAGGGCCTAATAGAAGAAAGTGACCTGGGTAATTGGTAGAAAAAGATATGGCCAATTTCTACAGTATCTGGGGCAGAGCTAAAACTAATTGTTCTCAAATGCCGGGGTCCAGTTACATGTAACTATAACAATGATTATTATCAAATACCAACAACCGGAACAACAATTGAGGAAAGAGGAGGAAGCTTCCCTGGGCGGGGTGGTTCCACGGGCGGGGGGGGGGCGCCATAGAGGTGGTGATGGGTAGAGGGAGGTATGGGAAAGGGAGAACAAAATATTCATTCTGGCCCAAAATTCATAATAACAAATTGGCAATCTGTAAATACAGTAATGATTCAAGACAAAAGCAAACCTGGCCTAAAATTTATAACAGAACATTGGCAATTCCAAAAATTATTCACGTTACAACTCAGCAATCTATTCGGCCCGAAATTAACAAGTCTAAAAATGTATCTCATTCAACCTCTTCACTATCCCAATCTATTTGTGCAAGTAAGGGGGTTTTTTGGCAGGGGGGAGGGGGCAGGTGTTATGTAGATTGAATAGCTCTTGACCCCTTTCAGCTTCTCTGTGTCCAAATCAAACATGCTAACTACTGTACTTCACTTGTAATAAAGGAGATGAGAGGGTATTAGAAGTGAATTAGGATCTTGCTGAAAGTTCATTTTTAACTTGAGTATACCCTTTGTGGCTGTTGGATGAGCATGAAAAATTGAAGAACTATACCATAGTGGTTAAAGAGAACAATGGCAGCTGTAACTTTAGCACATGAGTTTAAATCAGGCTACTGTAAGCTAC